CATACGCAGACACACACACAGACACACACAGTCATACGCAGACACACACACACAGGCACACACAGTCATACGCAGACACACACACAGACACACACAGTCATACGCAGACACACACACACAGGCACACACAGTCATACGCAGACACACACACAGACACACACAGTCATACGCAGACACACAGATATACACATCAGTGTAAATCAGAAGGCAGGAAACCCTTCCTTACAAAAATGATGGCTGGGGTGGGAATAACATTCCTGTTAGTGGGTATATTTAATATCCAAAGTGCCAGAAGGAGTGACCACTATCTAATTTGTGCTACTTTTTGTATTTGCTGACACACAGAAAGTCACACCAGCACACAAAATATTAACGTTATTTCACACACACGCCTGGTACCACTGTCACACGCACACTAATCTCTCATTCTCTCTCACACACTCACACGCACACACGCACACACACGCACACACACACACGCACACTCACACGCACACTCACACGCACACTCACACGCACACTCACACGCACACACACAGAGCCAGCTTCTCACCCACTATCTTGCTGTCCTCCCTTTCCAGGTAGCGGTTCCACATGCGTTTCCCTTTCTCATCATCCCTGCAGTGGGGGGGCGGACATACACACATGTGACTCCCTGAAGCTGAAGCAGCCTGCAGGCTGCTGGGGGTGGGGGGAGCGAGAGGATTCTAACTCACGGCAGGTGGTCCAGGTCCTCGGCGTGCCCCCGGGGGCGGACCGTAACGCGGTTCACCTCGTTGTGCAGACCATCCAACAGGAAGCGCAAGAACTCCTGCGCGTCCTGCTGACTGCAACAGGAAAGAGCCTCAGAACTGTGTACAGACATGCACACCTCCCCAAACCGGCCAACAGGTGGCGTCATGCTTAAACAATTAACCTGGCAAGTGGAAGTACGCATCTCGGCAGGACGGCAGTGGAGGACGGCACTCACTTGTAGCCCACAAATCTGGGGGCGTATTTCTGGATCTGCGTTTTAAACTCGGAGGGGCCGACAGCGTCGCTGCCTGACGATGTCCACAGTCTCTGTATGAGTCTGGCAAACTCTGCGGGGAGAACAGGTGTGAGGGTGACACGGGAGAGCTGCTGGCGTGTGATGTAACAGTGTGTGTGGCAGCGTGTGGGTGGTAAGGCACCAACAGGCCGTCTGTGTGCACTGGCCGGGGCGGCGGGTACGAGCGCGACCCTCACCCTCCATCAGGGTGCCATTCCCGCGGCTGCTGCTGTTCAGCTCCCGCCGGTAGCTGTTGTTCAGGCAGTAATCGCGCAGGCTCTGCGTGTTACTGAGGCACTGCAGGATGGAGTTCATGAAGCACTAGGAAGAAAACGGGAGCCGGTGAACCCGGGGAAGTCCCGCTGACGCATGGCACGTCATGCTGCACTTCCGGCTCCACCACGTTAGCCGCACGCTCCGCTAACGGGGCGCCATCATTGCAGCAAGTTACACATGCAAGAGCGGTGAAAGTCAAATACAAAAGCAATTAACTAAAACTAAAAACTTACTAAAAGCATGCCAAATGCCACATCTATGTGTCCAGTTGCTGTGAGGGGCTTTGCCAGTGTCAATGCAGACAGTTACAGGCAATCAGCCATTTTAGGAAAAATGAGCCCTAAACTGTCTGTGACTGGTAAGAGAGCAGCTTGGCAGATGTCCAAAGGCCTTTATTATTTGAATAGTTGAACACAGCTGACTCAGATTGGCAGCCTGACGATGCTGTGACGATTGACGATGCTGTGACGATTGATGATGCTGTGACGATTGATGATGCTGTGACGATTGACGATGATGTGACAACGGGCTCCTCCAGCGGGGCAGGGGGAGACGGATGGAGCCCAGATATCGACTCCTCCTCCTACAGCTATTTTCGGAACTCGCAGTTGAAGGGCGAGAGCTCCTGCATGTTTTCTGAGTCTAGCGCTACACACGAAAGAGGCGGTGGCACGTAACGCATCCATAGGGACACGGGAGACCCCCGCTGAGGCATTAACACCCCCCACGGTAGCAGGCGGCACTGCGTCTCTCGGTCACCGGCTAACTGATACTCACTGTGTTCCCCAGGTTCTTCAGCCCCAGCAGGGCCTGGGCGCTCTTGGAGTTCTGTGGAAAACAGACCAGACCGTTTCTAATAAGGAATATTAACAGAATGGGGACTTTGATTCGTAATCACAAGGAATTCACAGGCTAAGGACGACATTAAATGCATTTAATAAACTGCATTTAGTAATGTAAAATTCTTAAACTGTATGTCAATAAAGACAAATAAAACCAAGTATTACTTCTATAAACCCTCTTAGTAAAACACAAAAATGACATTTTAAATAAGTAATGTCCTCTTAAGCATGTTAAAAGAATGTAAATAAGATCAGGTATTTACCAAAAGTACTAACTAGAATGGACATAACGGTAAATCAAATTTCGCTATATCATGATACAAAAGCCTGAATACCGTCATGGGACTATAACAGCGTCTACCAGGATTTACATGGTTATTTCATGGGACTATAACAGCGTCTACCAGGATTTACATGGTTATTTCATGGGACTATAACAGCGTCTACCAGGATTTACATGGTTATTCCGTTAGTACAGCTGTGCTCTATTATCTGTCCTTGTTGACAATTGCATTGTTTTTTTTAACAGCAAAGGGCGAGATCACACTAAAAACAGTGATGTTCCACTGATCCAGTTGCTGCAGTAATATATTATTTTTATTTTATCAAAGGACCACTTCTACTGACTGCTGCACTACTTCTGTTTTGCAGCTGTACGTAAACAGTCATTCATTTTTCCAAGTCGTCATATTTCTTCATATTTTAATATCGTGATAAATATCATACCATGGACTTGTTATTGTGATATTACCATGACCTTTCGGTATTAACATCCCCACTAGGCCTCCCAAATATACCATCAGGGATGGTGCACATGTTACCTGCATTACACAACAAGAACAGTAGGGGGGGCAGTGAGTGTGGTAGAGGTGTCATAGAATGAAAATCTGACTTTACTGCACAGTTGAAAAAGGAGAGTTTGGTACATGGAACTGACATAGTGTCAATCTTCAACACTGTTGTTCCAGTTTTCAAATATACTTCCGGAATATGTAAAAGGATGTGAAAAAGACCATTTCAAAATTCCAAGACTCATGTAATTGCGCAACAGGCTTAACCACGCCCCCAAACGTAACGTATGCCAGCTCGCTTTCGAGCTCAATGGGCATCAGGACTTTTCTGTAGGTACTGTGAAGCGTGAAGCAGAGGACGACAGTGAAAATGGCAGGTCGTGTGCGTAAGTGTGCCCCTCAATGCTATGATGGAGATGGTGGCACTTTTCATACTTCCCAAGGAACCAAAACACCAACACGCTTGGCTGTTGTTCATATTTAACAGGCAAGTCAGGGGTACCTTTCCCAAAAGCTCTTATAAGCAACTAACATAGTTGGAACCGTTCAGTTGCATAAATCTGATTTTGCAAGTTGCTAATTACATTGCTAACAACTATGCTTTTGGGAAAACGTACCCCAGTTTAGCAGGGGAGTCGTATACAATATTATTAACATTATGTGATACTGACATGAGGCTTCTGTACTTCCTACTTTTGATTAACTAAACAAACATTTAATCAGTACTGTAGTAAAAAACCATGAAAGCCGAACTGCAGATTCATTGCAAACACATTTACAAGCTGCTCACCTTGCGGTTTGGAGTTCTTGATAAAACTTGCATGACAAAGCTAGCATTGTAAAATCATGTTGCATAAGATGAAAAATAATTTGTGTTCTTGTTACAGAGCTGAAAATAAAGTTATCATTATGCTGACGTTGCGTCTAGGCTGAAGTGGAACCATTACTATTGTTACAGTTACATGCAGCAAATTGGTTCTACGTGAGCCATTGCAGCGCCTGACTGTAAACCAGCCAATCAGAGCAGAGCTCATGAACATATTAATGGGCCCACCAAATAAGGGAAATTAGCTTGTTTCATTCCAGGGCCAAATTATAGGGATGTAAATGGGCCTGTAAAACCACTTCTGGACAAGTTCACATAGTTTCTTGGCAGACAGGACAGAACAGTCTGAATAAACGAATCAATGCATTCTGTGGCACCTGTTATGGCCAGGGTGTAGGATGCGGGGGCCAGTCGGTGCCCCCCCCCCCCACGTACATTAACCAGCAGGTCCAGCACGTTTAAGCTGGCTGCAGAACATATACCCCAGTGCTGCCCGTTTGATCATTGCTCCTCACCATCTGTCCCCACTTTACTTAGTAACTATATGCAGATTACAGAGTAAACAAAGGCAGGACAACTGCAGGCCCATGGCGACGTTAGAGACACTGCACACAGCGGCCAGATGGGGGCAGCCTTGGCCCTGCCTCCAACGGACACTCACACCTAAGAGGCGGGTGTGTGCGCTGGGTCCTACAGCCACTCTAAGACGTAAGGGGGGGGGCAAGGCAAATGTTTGTGTGTACGACCTGATGAAATCTGCAAGAAATAATTGGTTGGCTTCCTCCCCGTTTACAATAAACAAAAAATCTATCATTGTTTGGCATTTTCTCAGCCTTGGGAGGGGCCATGCTGATCCGGTGGGCTTGGTCACTCCTGGTTCCCTCCTCAAGCCAAGCCTGGTGCTGCACAGATCCTTTCCGTGTTTCTTTTCTGATTCAGCAGGCCGGCACCTCCACAGAGTGCTGGTTTAAGTATGCAGAGATTCACACTGCCTCAAAGGGAGCCCAAAGGTAAATTGTGCTCCATTTTTTATTTACCTTAGGGATGTCGCAGCCCAGAGGACAGGGGGCACATTCTGGAAGGTAGCAAACAGTCCGCAGACCAACGTACACTTAATTTCGCCATATACGTTTCCAACCTAGTGACAGGAAAGACTGACAATGATAACCCTGCATTGGCGTCAAAGACATCCAGCTGCTATCTCACGGAGATGCACGGAGTCGTGTTCAATTATTCGGATGGTCGCAAAAGAGAAAGCTTTATATGCGAGGGCTATCAGTGCAAAGCTTTATATGCGAGGGCTATCATTGCAAAGCTTTATATGCGAGGGCTATCAGTGCAAAGCTTTATATGCGAGGGCTATCANGGCTATCAGTGCAAAGCTTTATATGCGAGGGCTATCATTGCAAAGCTTTATATGCGAGGGCTATCAGTGCAAAGCTTTATATGCGAGGGCTATCAGTGCAAAGCTTTATATGCGAGGGCTATCAGTGCAAAGCTTTATATGCGAGGGCTATCAGAATCAGAATCAGAATAAGCTTTATTGCCAGGTATGTTGACACATACGAGGAATTTGTTGTAGTGACAGAACTCTACAGTGCAACAGAAAGACAGTGACAAGACAAGACACAGGTAATAAAAAGAGTTATATACAGATATACAAAGTAGCGTGCAAAATAGCAAAAAGACATTCCAGTATGACCAGGTATGATGTGTTTGTATAGGTATGTTGATATGTGCAAATATGAAAAATAAATAAGCGTGTGTGTTAAATAAATAATTTGTTTTAGTGTTGTGTGTACCACGTGTATTGTTAAGTGTACATGACATTGTTAAGTGTTCATGACATGGACTGCCTGGGGGAAGAAACTGTTCCTGTGTCTGGTCGTTTTGGTGCTAAGTGCTCTGTAGCGTCGACCAGATGGCAGCAAAGGTAAGCTCGCATTCTGGGGTGCTGTTGGCCAGGGACCCTCTTCCTGAGTGTGACGACCCTCCGTTGGCCAGGGACCCTCATCCCGAGTGTGACCCGATTTTGGCCGGTCTGGAGCACAGCGGTTGTTGACCTGAAAGGCCCTCTCCTGGCAGTCCCACTCTGGGCACTGAGGTGACCAGTTTTAATGCACGTCACCTCAGAACACCCTAACAATGAGCTTAAGCTGCACTTTTCCTCCAGTCAGACTTTTGGTGCCCACCTCTGTTATTTAGCTGTATATTGCATGCATATTTGGTCGCATTAGTATAAATGTACACAGGCGTGTCCGTACTACACACTGTGGGAAAGCATGATGGCGTTGATGTTGTACCAAATCAGAAATCCCATACTAATTCTGTATCTCTCTCCTACTCTTTCTAGTCCTCTCTCACATTCGTTCCCCCCCCCACACTGACTTTCTCTTCGCCTCCCCCCAAGTGACCATACGGTCAGAAGAAGGACACCCATGTACTGCTCAGAACAAGGTGGGGGACTAACCCTGATTTCATAACTGTCCCCTTCGCTGCCCCCCCCCAGACTTTGTTCAAAGTGATGAAGGTGTGAGGTGCTCCTGTCGCGGGTATTTGGGTGGCGATCTGCACCTTCCAGATGAAAGGCTCACTAAGATCATGCCAAGGCTCCCAGGAGCCGAGAACGTCCTGGTCCTCTGCTCAACTCATACAACAAACACGAAGAAATTGACCGACTGACTTCAGCATATTTATACTGAACATGACTGGACATCGGTGGCCTTCAACTACAATCTGTCCAAGAGGTGACAGCATAGTCAGTTCCGGTCACCTGAGGAGCAAGTGTCTGAACAACAGTTGTTTGTGACGGAAACCGGTAAAAGAGAGACTTGATCTTCTGTGGCTTGGAAATCGAGTGTCTTAGTATCTAATGTAAGTACATCTGGAAGGGAGCTGAATATTCCTGCATTTATGTCCCTGTCTAGTACAACCCTAAGACATACACAGGACCTGTCACTCTGAAACACATACAGGCTGTGGGAAAGAGAGACTGTGGGAAAGGTGCCTGCAGTACACATGAATGGTCAGCAGGGGGCACAGTCCTCAAGGAACATATTGCAAATACAACTAAAACAAATAAACCCGTTATGCAAAATAATCTGTAAACAAAACTAAAAATAACCCTTATCCTACCAAAGAATAGAGTAAGATGTGATAATAACTGAGCTGTGGAGACATGGGAGGAGGGGTGATCAGCAGACCCCAGGAGTCCTGTGCTAGTTCACCTAGCATGCCGCTTGACATACTGTTTTGTCAACATGCTTCGCTCACATAGGGGGGAAGCACAGGACAGGCAGTGGGGGGTCAGCCTCGGCAATGGGCATACCCACCCTCCCAAGAACTACACTGTAATTCATGGAGTATGCT